CTGCATTTGCAAAGAGTGAAGGGAAATCAGGCAAAAGAGCCTGCCCAGTACATGATGTGCTCCTACAGCTGTCAGTCCTCACTGTTCTGTTAGGGACTCATTTCCATCAGTGTGCGCTATTTGTTAAATACTCATAAGAAATAGGATAGGAGGGATATATCCCTCTGGAAGTCACAGATGGCAGCTGACCCTTTCCTAGGTTAGGAGCAGAGTGTTTGCCTTGGAGGGAACAGGAATACATCCAGGCTTACCTACTTGTGCTCTGTTCAGATTTGACTCAGGACCAAACTCAACAAAAAGGAACAAAGTGTATTTCCCACCAGCAGAGCTGTTTTTCTTTGTCCCTCTGGTGTTAAGTTGACCAATCTAAATGAAAACCTCATACTTCAAATAGTGAAGAATTGTGGTGCTAATGTGTTACCATGGCTAAAAGTTACTGTGAAATTTCAAGTAGTCCCTGGCTTCAGGGGAATGAACACAATCTTTTTTGAGCAAGGAACTACATCACTTTTACATAACTAAGTGATGTGCTGAAAGCATCTGTGAAAACAACTGTCCAGAGTTAAGGGTATAGTGCAAGGGTACAATGTACATAGATGGTGTCATCAGGCAAACCAGTAGTTTAAGAATTTTGTGCAAATGACAGGTATACTTTTGCTTATATTGTATGTTTGATATACATATAAACATATATATGTACACACATGCAGGTATTTTCTGAACATAGTCTTCTTTGTGATTGTGAACCCCTTCACACTCTGTATATGTTGTGGTATATCAGTAACACAACACTTGTGATGTTTAAATGTTTGAGGAGAAGACCCTCCTGGAAAAATTCACAGGGGTGGGTAAACCTAAGTACTGAAAGAGAAATTCAAGTCCTGTAGCACATTTGAAATCTATTCTTACAGGAGCTGTAAGGAAATATGAGAGCTGCTCTGCTGGAGAGAAACTGCTGGGCACTGGACCCATTTTTTTCTCCTCTAAATAAAACATAGAATAGGCTTTTAACTGCTTTTTCTACATAATAGCTACTTAACTTGTTCACTAACATTAAGAAAAAAAAAAGGAAAATTCCAAGAAAATTCCTATTCAGAGTAAAAAAATATAAATTAAAGCAAAGTGCGCAATGCACACCCTTTTCTTTCTTTCCTGTTTTGTTTGGTGTTTTCTAACTCTGCTTTTTGGACAGCTGAATGGGGGCTGGGAAAGTGTTTACAATATTTTCACATGATTGAGATGGCAGAGTTCTTGCACTCTGTGAAAGGCCTTCTGTTTTCAGATGGCATTGAAAGTTTACCGTCTTTCCAGACAAAAGGAAGAGAGCCCGTTGCCAGCGGATGAGTAATGGGCATGGCCTCCACACAATACCTCCTATCCAGTCCTAAATCTACATGGTGTTCTTAGGCTCCCCGGCTTCTCCAAAGCAACCTTTGTCTCTGCTCTGGGAGACCAAAACTGCTCGTTGGGCAAGTGGGGATGCAGCCAAGAGGGGAAGGCTCAGTGACAACAGTTGCTCAGTGCTCAGTGCCCAGTATCTGCCTCCTTACCATGCCACTATAATAGTTGGGAACCCGTCAACAATTGAGCATCTTCTATACAAATATGTTGCAGACCATCTGTATAGTTTTCAGTTCCAGAAGATTCCAGTAACTCACTAAGTTTTAATACTTTTTTTTTCTTCTTGTTACTCTGATGGACTGCCCTGAGATAAGTGATAAAAGCAAAAGTCTGACATAATTTCTTCGGAGCTAAAACTGCACAGAAGTTGCCAATTCCTGTATTTGTTTTCTTACAAGAAACTTGAAGCAGGCATTTTCCACTCTTAACAATTTTAAGGTTCTATCAAGTCATCTTTATTTTTTGGGTCAGAAAAACATTTTGGTGAAAATGATTGCTAACATAATCTTAGAAAATATTTGAACAGGCAATTCTGAAGTTTTTCCAGAGCCTTGGTGTTATAGAGACCAGTAGGTAATTTTTTCTCTTGTTTCTCTTACAAAGCTTCCTAAAGCTTGTCTATTTGGAATTTATCTAAATGTGTATATGTGTATATAGGTTGCCTATGTGTGGGACATGGATGTGTGTGTATGCATGTCTCTGTCTCTGTGTACCTGCCTGAAAGAACTTGCATTTCACTGTGCTGTAAAGAGCATGAAGAAGAGCTTTCTAAGAATTAACTAAGCATTCATTAACTGCATTTAATTTTGACTATGTTCTTGGCTAAGAAATGTCAGTATTAAGTTCTTATTCTTTCATGCTAATTTGGTGTTGCATAGCGACTCATGTATTGTTGTCAGGAAAATAGAAGCAAAGACGTAAGAGATGCCGGATTTCTTAAGGGTTGGTTGTAGCTGGTATCAGCAATTTACTGACTAACCTGTAGTAACCTGTAGTGCTGACAGTCCTGGGTAAACAAGCAATGCATTAACGTTATTAGCAAAACAATTTTCTAAATTACCTGAATTGAGCTTTCAATGCAACTGATTCTATTCTTTGGGCTTTTTTTCTTTCCCCCATCACGCCCTCCTGTGGTTTTTTTTGTTTTGTTTTTTGTTTTTTTTTTTTTTTTTTTTTTTTTTTTTTTTTTTTTTTTTTTTTTTTTTTTTTTTTTTTTTTTTTTTTTTTTTTTTTTTTTTTTTTTTGAGGAGTTAACAATCTAAAGCAGCATTAAAATAATCTGGTTTAATTTCCTCTGCTGAAAGAGCAAGTCAGCTGAAATTTGGACATTTTGCTGAAAAGTGGGGGAAAAACCAGGTATTTTTTGTTTTAAAGGGCATGACCATGCACATTCTGTTCTGGTGCCTTTAACGGGAACTTCCCTGTTTAAATGCCCTTGAGCAGAGAAATACCAACACCTCTTAATTGTTTAATATATTGCAGCCTAAAACATTTACAGAAGTGCTTTCCAAGTACTTCACTGTTCCAGGTGCTTGGTCCTGCACCTCCTAAAATAATAGGCTATTTCCCCTCAGTTTTCCTGTGCTTGGTGCCACAATGAAACATAAGCTCTGTATCAAGGGAAGGGGAAGTGAGGGAAGTAAGTGGGATGCCTGACATTGGTGCTGGTGCTTGCGGCATACACAGACCTCTCTGTCTTGCGTCACAGAGCTGCTAAAGAAGGAGAAAATAACATGGCTTGTACTTGGCCTGTAAAGTCCAAGGAGAAAAATATCATATTGTTAAGCATTTGAATGTCACTCTGCACAAAGACCCCTTATCACTCTGTCCTCTGAGAAGCATCACAAAAAGTATAACAATTCTACTAATCAGGAGGGCTGGACATACATCGGTGCACAGCACAGCTGTCTTGCAGCTGCCTTAGGGCCATGCTCCAAAATGTATTTATTCCTTCATGGAGGCGTCATGAAGCCAAAGTCCGACATCTGTCACATGTGACCGTGTTCCAGACTGAGGCAAAAAGATTATATTTGGAAAAAAAATTATGCCTTTTTTTGATCCAGGAGGGATAAAGTAAGATACAGTTTTCTTCGTCTGTGCTTAAGTAATTTATTTTTCAACTCGCTTAACCAAAATGGACTGAGGTTTTTCCCTACTTGAGAAATAAATCTCCTAATACAGAGCACTTAGGGCTCCCTAGGTTCTATGAGACTCTGCCCTGACATATCAGGATTTGAGCTGTGCTGTCACTCTTATCAGCACATCCGTGGGCTATGCAGTGCAGCCATGCCACGAGCACGGATAACCCCACGGGCACTGGGTGAAACTGGGCAGGCAAAGGGACTTAGTCTGGAATGCATCCTCAGAAAGTTCTTGCAAATCCTCCCTACTGTGCAAATGCAGGCTAATGATAATTGTTTAGAGAGCTGGGGTCTCAAGCCCTTCCAATAGTTCTGTGTAAGGGAGCAGCAGCTGGATGGTTTCCAGTAAGGAGCTGGAGAGAGAGAGGCTCTGTCTGGCCCGAGGGAGGAGATAATGTGGAGTTAAACAATTCTGTGAGAGTGGAGGACTGAATCTTTCCGTGGCTGCAGTTTCCATCAAGCACTTCCCAGCACAGTTGCCTGCCATCCCTTTGAACCCACGTCTTCCATGTGACAGAGCAGTGATCTGGCTGCTGAGCCACTAGACTAATATTGTTCTTTTAATCTCACAAAAATGTGTTATAAAAGAGTTGGATTCACATGAGAAATTAAGTGTAAGATCTGTCCTCATAAAGACATTATACCATGAATGCTCTTTCTGCTGGCTGTAAGAATAGGTGGCTCAAGGGTGAAAGGGTAGCATTTACATTTAAATACACCTATTGGAACTGCACAAACAGAAGGCTAAAGCTACTGCTCCCTCTCTGAATGCTTTTAGAGTTTGCAGCTTTTTTTTACATAGCAGCCTTTTTTTTTTTTTCCCTAATCAAAAAGGGGAATCGAGATACTTAAGATGCCATAAAATAAAGTAAAGGAGGTTTTTGTGCCAGCAAGATAAATGGATGAGCCTTTTCAAAGTAGATATTTTACTTTTTTCATCTGTATGTGCCACTCAGGAGGTGAAATCCAGATTTCAACCAGAGCTTTCTCTGCTGTTACACTAACTGGTAGTGCTGGCTTGGTGGATGCTGTTTACATTTCCCAGAGAAAATCAAATGCACTTTTTTTTTTTTTTGTTTTTTTTTTTTTTTTTTTTTTTTTTTTTTTTTTTTTTTTTTTTTTTTTTTTTTTTCTGCCAAATCCATATTTTTCCTGTGATAAAACAGAAAGCTCCTTAACATCTGGACAAAACAGAAACTGAAACAGGGTGGAAAGGGCATTTAGTGCAAGGATAGCCTGGCAGCCATGGTGCAAGCTCAGTGAAACCCTTGAAATGCACCTGCTTGACCCAGGCCAGAGCTTATTCCCTTTCCTTTGCAAAATCTTTCTCCTCTCTGTACACTGACAGAGGCTTATGGGCTGGAGTTGCAAAATCTCTGGGCTTACCTTTGCTCTTTAGGATTTCTAATTAAAGAAAAAAAAAAAAAAAAAAAAAAGAAAATAAACAAAACCTCAAGTGTATTTTCCTTGATCTTTTTCTTCAAATTTTTGATGGCTCTTTTATCATGATATTCCACTATGCACACAAGGATCAAAACCAAAGTTCATGAATAAATGCTTTAAAATTACAATGCAGCTGGAAATCAGGAGCTCCATGCTGAACAACTTTTGCACGTACTTCCTGTTATGTATTAAATTGCTACACAACATACAGCTAATAACACAAATCATTAAGTATGTTCCAGACACCTCTGAATATTTAAGAACTTGGAATCCAGATCTGGATGTCTCAGTTTCTTAATATGTACTTAATAATTTTTCCATTGAATATGTATGTAAATCTGCTATCTTAATATATAACTTGGACAGTGGGGAATAATAAGTAATTAAAAGAAAAATAATCAAATGATATGTCAAATGAATCTCTGCAGAGTGAAAGGATCCCATCATCAAAATACATGCAAAGAAAGGAAGAGTGAAGGAATTCATAACACCATGGTCAGTATCCCTTTATGGGTCCTTATTTTTAGAATATATCTGACTGTATTTTGTTTGGGTTTTTTACTGTTTTGGCCTATACAACACAAAGTGTCTGTATAAAATAAAACAGTGTCTCCCTTGGTCTTCCTAGTCTTGCAAGTATTAGTCCTCCTAGCAAGTCTGCCTAACTTTTATGGTCTGAGAAATTCTGAATAATTTTTTTCCTGTACACTTCCTTGATTTTTAATAATTTTATGTCAACTACTCATCAGTAATCTTTTTTTCCAAGCCAAGGAATCCTCTGCCACCTAAACTCTCCATGTAGAGAAGCTTTTCTACATGTCAGATAATCCTTGTTGGACCCTGCTTTAGCTCTCCTCCTTCTGCTATGCCTTTCTGGAGGTGAGGGCTCAGAGGTGTGCTCAGTATTCACTCTGAACATCCTCAACATTGTTATTCTTCCCCTCAAAAGGACTCTTGAAGTGCTGTTGCTGTCTGGTTGGTAGTGAGCATTGGGATGACATTGTCTTGGAGTTTAAAGGTCCATTTTAAGGAGGATTTATCCTCATGGCCCACAGATTCATAAGGCCATATTACCTCAATTCAGAGGATTTTATGTTCCCTGCGGGGCAGTTTAGACTAAATTTCATACCTGTGTTTTGAACTTGCAATGCAATGAATGTGCCTCGGTGCTCCTGAAGGAGGAATCCCTTCCAGCATCCAACAGTCAATATTATGTGCCTCAGCCCTTGAAAATTTAGGCAAAAATTATCTTCTGAGTAATAAAATAGAAAGTAAAGCCTGTATTCAAAAAGTAGAGGGGATGGTAGATGTTCTGAGGTTCTGGTTCCTGGCCTCAGTTTCCTGTTTTCAGTAGTACTGTAACAAAAATTGCAAAGTTTTTTCCAAGAAAAAGAACCAGAATCAATCTACTACCACTATTTGAGAGGTAAGTAATTTCTCTTGTTTCTGGAGAAACTTGTCATGTTTCTCTTCCAGGTCAAAGAAGGAAGCTTGTAGTTGCTTTTGGGTTGTCATATCATTAGACTGTGGTCAGAAGATGGTGCAAATTGCTGTTTGAGGTTAGAATCAGACACCTCCATTCAAATTCAGGCAATATTATTGGGTATGGGCAGAGAAGTTACTGAAAGTTAGAAGTTACTAAAAGTTTAGTATCATGAAAATATATCAAGCATAGTTCAGCTACAATCAAATATTTATTTCCTAGTTTGAGGCTCTCATTTTACACTTTGAATGAATAAAATACAGCCTGACCAAACACAGGTTGTGAGACAAGTGCAAGCTCTCCTTAGAGGTTAACAGCCTGATTTCTGTCTCACACCAGTTTTATGGTCATTTAGCTCCATTGACTTTGGTGGATTGAGTCCTGATTTACAGCATTGCTTCAGTGCAGGTTTAAAGCTGTGCTACACAGTAGCAGTGCTGGTGTCAGGTCTTTGGGAGCAAAGTCTCTTTGCATTGTGCTTGCCACAATAGTATCAGTTCTGATACCATAAAGTAATTATTTATTAAATCCATCCATAGAGAACATATTTTGCAAAAATTATTTTGGTTATTTTGGTTCCTCATTTGTGGCATTATTTTATCATTTAATATCAGTTATGAGGTTTTTTTTTCTGTTTGTTTGTTTTTTTTGGTTTTTTTTTTTTTTTTTTTTTTTTTGTTTTTTTTTTTTTTTTTTTTTTTTTTTTTTTTTTTTTTTTTTTTTNTGTGTGTGGTTTTTTTTTTTTCTTTTTTTCCCTCTTTTTTTTTTTTACTTACTAAGGTATTTTTTTTTTTTTGGATCAGAAATACAGGTCAGAAGTTTACAATGTCCATATTTGTGCATAATTTTGGTTGGAATACATACCATAAAACTGAAATTAAATCTAAAAATTGCTGTTAAGTTTAAAAACATAACCCTAGGAACTAAAAAGATAGAATTAGTAATTTTAGGCATGATTTGGAAATTAGTTTATCTCCTGTCATCTCTCCTAAGTGTGATTGTAAGTTTGCACACAATGGACTACCATTTCTTCAATTTAATGTGCACCACCATAGGAGGTCTCCTGTTCTGCTTTTCTTACCTCATATTGACTTCCTAGTGTAGAGTAGGCAGGAAAAAACATCTGAGTGAATGCATCTTATCAAGCAATGAGAATATGTGCTCTTAGCTTGACTCATGTTGAGACAAAATACTGTGGGAAAGCTGTGCAAGCTAACAGAATAAACTTTCAGTCTGCTTCTCTGCTAGGCAGATACTACCTTGCCTGCTGGAGTTCTCCTTTAGGATCTTCAGTTCATGTAGGCTGAGGATGTGAAAGGACACATGTGCTTTTGATGTCTCTCTGGTGTACTGCTTAAATTGCCAGAGTTCACTCTTTGGAGTCCTTAGTCTGTCACTGGGAAGCTGTAGAATGATCTTCCTTGTGAGCCAGCCCTTGTCTTCTTATCCAGTGCAATGGCCATGTTCTCTGGAGAAGAGATCAGCTGTCTTCTCTTTCCCCTTAACACAATCCGAAGTGTGGTAGGAACATCTGGAGGGCAGGGCAGCATTAAAAAGAAGGATTTGTTTCCTGAGAGATGGCATTGTTTCTCAGTTCCCAGCAGGAGAAACTTTAAACTAATGACCTTTCCAGAACATGTAAGCCAGCTGAGCCCAAGACTCATGTGCATTTTGATGATTTGATATTTTGTTATGATCACTTCTAGCAGGGACAGTGTCTTGCAACATCATATTAATGATAATAATAAGTAAAACCATACTCCCTTTTCTGCCCTGGAAACAACCTCCACCATTATTTACCTAATGGGTCTTGTGGGGCTTCTAAGCTTTTACAGTTGTCAGGGTCAGTGCAAGACAGACTGCCAAAAGAACCAGGTACCTCTAGTGCCACTTCTGTGTTTTTCTTCCTCCCCCTCACCCAAATCCCGAGTTTAGGGAGGGAGCAGATATTTTTTCCTATGTGCCTGGCTTGCTGAGAGAGTCACATATCTGTGGTCTGTTTGCTCAACATTAGCTGTGCTGCCCAAGAGTGAAAGCAAGCATGGAGTGTAGATTCTCTCTGACTTCTGTGGGATCTGGAGCAGATCCATGAGGAATGCTACTGTTTTCAGCACTTCCCTTGCTCTGCCTAAGACCAGGCACACTAAGATATGAATGTTGTTACAGCTGCCACATACTATATATAAGCTTCATGTTGATGATTATTGCTTTAAACTAGGAGGTCTTTGTTTAAAAATGTTTTCTTCCCTCTAGAATCTACCAGGTTGAGTTGTACTTAAAGCAATGCTTTCTATTTTTATTGCTGTCAACAGCGTACCTGGACTTTCACAGTTTGTATTTGTTAAAAAATACTGTTTATTTATTTATTTGTTTGTTTATTGTGCAGACAGCTTTATAGTACTGGAGAACTAGCCCTGAATTATTTGAAACAAATTGGCCTGTTCATTTTCCAATTGTTCATATAATTTTCTGTTTTGGTTTCTTTATTACTGCTAGTAGATCTGTTTTGATTCACTCCTTCAATTATACTGATTTTCTTTAAAATATCTTGAATATAATATCTTTAAAATATAATGAACTCTGTTGCATTTCAGAGAGCTGCATGGTCAACTTATGTCACTTCTGTCACCCTGCTGAGTGCCATGTAACACTGCCAATGCTTGGAAGCACTGACTGCTGGCATCTGCAAGATGGAAGGACAGAAAGACCTGGACACATTGACTACATCTAAACTCTTAAACAAAATTAGTCAGAGAATTTTCCTGGAGACCAGCTGGCATGAAAGAGCTTGAATCTACACAGATAAACTCTCTTGCCCTCCAAATCATGGTGGCCACATCCAAAATATCTATTGGAGATGGTGCCTGACTTGGGTCAATACCCAAGCTGTGCTTTGGTATTGACCAAATTCCATGTCTGGAAGAGCATTAGCAGTCTTGCACCAAAACCATGCAAGGGACCAGTTTAGTGGTATGGATGGTTTCGGGCCCATGCCTTGCTGGTCTTGTTTAGTTTATTTAATGTCAGAGGGAAACCTCAGAAATTCTGCCAGGAGTCAACAGGAAACCCCTTCTGGCCTCAGCAACCAGAAGCTGCTGAGAAGTATAATCATTAGGCTGTACACCTCCTTCACATTTGGATTTTTTTTCCTCATGTTATTTTTTACCAAATGAGCGCTGAAAATTTTTGAAATCTCATTGAGTAATAAAATTGGGTTGTTGCCTGCGCAAAACTTGTTGGTTTTGAACTACCAAGAGATTTCTCACACAAGCTGAACTTCTGTAAAAGCCAGCTTCAGCTCTCCTCCCTGATGAAGGGTCTCCTATGGCTTTGAGCAAGTTGCTAAGAGCTTGTGTGACCAGCCCCCTGTTTGGATACGGGGGTAAAAAGCAATGAGGTGTTGAGATACAAACACACCATTTGCTTGAGGTCACATAAACATGCTGAACTGGTGTGAACATAAAATTCCCCTTGATTTCTGTGGCAACTTATTTCATATGTCTGGGTGAGCAATTTATTTTAAACCCTGCAAAAAGGACATGAGTACGTTGTTATATCAGGATCTTTTCAAGGTCAGAGCTCTGGGGTTGGCTTTGGATAAACCTGATATGTCCTTAATACAGTGTGGGGTAGGGGAGAACTCCTGCTCTGTGTTTCTAGAGCTAACTTTGTGCAATGGTACCCTGATTATCCTATGGAACACTCTACTTCACAGTTTTGTGTTATACTTCTGCCTGCAGCAATATAAATCAGAATCAGGTAATTAATACCTGAATCTTTTTCTCTATTCTGAAGATAAATGGCAGTGAAGGCCGAGTAGTTTTAAAAAGCTCATAGTACAAAATTATCGTATTAGGCCATGCTGTATTACTGAGATTACAGAAAATTACCTATGTGTATTGAATGAAACCATGATTTTCCAGTGATCTCAGCAGCAGAACTGGGACAATTTAATCATTGCATTATCAGTTTGGTAGGTAACTAGTATCCTGAATTGCTGCTCAGAATGAAAAAATGGTATTGTTTTATCCAGAAACTAGCCCCTTTTTAACTTCCAGCACTAGCCCTTGCTTTTCTTAGACCTCAGGCATGAATTTCTGAAGCTGACAGGTACTGATTTCAACAACACTTAGAGCAGTGCATGTTTTGCCTCAGGTTTGCTGCAGGATGGGTGTACTCTTAATTAATGTGGTCATTTGATGTACAGCACCTTGCTGACTATTAGAACTAGATTGTGTGCTTTTACCCAGTGTTCCTTTTTGAGTAAAAAGTCTATTTCATAATTTGCTTATTCATGGGTCAGTCTCATAAAGAAGTTTGTAGAGCCCTACTTGTGTATAGTCATACCTGGAACAGGCTGTGTAAATCTTATTTAATGAAAATGTTATGAAGCAAAGAATCGAGTGGTTGCCCAGAATTATATACTCAGAAATTGGCAATTTTTCTCTGAGCTGGATTTTGAAAAGCAGGAAATATGGTAAAGCAGAGGAGGAACATTTAACCTTATCTATTTTGCCTCCCTTTTCCTTCCCTTTTCTGTCTTGCCCCTTAATCTTCAAGCCCTCTCCCATGGATGCTTGCATATGGCAGTGGCTCTACTCAGACCTACTGAGACCAGTGCATCAGTTAAGGTTTGTAAGGCCACAATGTGTTTATTTTTGCAGCCTGATCTTGTGAGAAACTGAGGAGGTCTTGCATCTCCCTCCTACTGATAACAGTGGTGTTGAAAGAGCTCTGTGCATTCCAGGGCAAAGCCTTGGAGGTTAGAGAGCTGCTAACTCTCCTTTGGAAGTACATGCAGATTCCTTTGGCCTTCACTGGGGGAAAGCCTGGCTTCCCACTAAAGAAAAAGAAAAGAAAACAAAGAAAACCTAAGATACAAACCCCTAACACAATACTCATGGTGGTCCAAATAAAACATAAAAACCCCAGTCTCAGCCCAAGCACTCAGTCTAGGGAGGCTTTGCAGTTAGGGGCTTGAAGCTCGACCCAGGGCTGAGTCATGGTCTCTTTGTGGAAGAAAGGTACAGGCTGTGGCCATGCTCAAGTGAGCTTTGGTGTGTAAGGATGTAGCCCAGTGGTCTGGGCTGGTAGTCCCTGCCTGCTGGCTCAGTGTTCATTCACCCTGCACAGGCTCTGAGCTGTGCTCTGCAGCCATCACCCCAGGCTTCATCTCAGGCTCTTTTTGACCCTCTGGCTGTTTTAAAGCTGGATCCTTTCAGCTTATATTCTCTCTCAAGCAATTTTCTCTCCTCCCCCCCTGCCCCTTCTCTACTTCCACAACTGAACTCACTTTTCCAAACTCCCCATTCCACCATCTATCCACTCCATATGTTTATATTTTCCTATTGCTGAGGCATGGCATGCTGACCTGCCTGGACAGAGCTCCTTTATCACAGAGATAAACATGATGTCCCCCTCACATAGAGTTTCTATCATGTGTGACCTTTCATCTTGAACTGCCATGACCTTTTTTTTATTAATGCTGTACTGTGCTGCTTGCAGAAGCCAGGAAAGAAAATCTTTTGTTTCTAGATAGAATACTGCTAAAGGACATGATACGGTCTTGTTTTTAATCCAGCTAATTAAAATCTGCATGTGCAGTGTAACTGAGAATGCAGCCTTCGCCCACCACTTTCCCACAGGCAGGGAAGAAAGGCCTTTAGTGCAGCAGCAGCTAGACACCCTTGGATAACAGAGAACAGAGACCACAATTCATCCCAGCTTTCCTTATCATATTCGCAGAGGGCTTTCCCCTCCCTCCCTCCCTCCTCTTTCCCTCCCCCTCTCTCTCCATGGAATCACTTACTGTAGCTATGTGCCTCTATATATCACTGCAGAATGTAATCAAGTTAAAAATATGTTAGCTCACATTTATCTATGCTCCAGTGAGCTTCAAATATAATTCATTTCTACTGAAAAAAAAAAAAAAAGAAAGAGGAGGGGTGGAAGCGGGGAAAGAGAAAGAAAAAAGAGAAAGAAAAAGAAAGAAAAAGTGTCTATTTCTACTCAAGTGTCAACCCTACTTATTTTAAAATAGTTCTGCCAAGAACTAACTGAATAACACAGTTTAGCAGTTCACACTTTTGTATGTTCATTATGTTGGCTTTTTTGGATTTACTGGATAGTTGTGGTTATTACTAAAGCTGCCTTTTGTGTGTGTTTGTGTGTCAGGAAGAGGGTGCCATGGAATTTTTTTCTTATGAAACATTTTCTTGGTTAGTTTTTCACTTGTTGGTTTTTGTTGGGTAACTGAAGTTAGGAGGGAGGAGGAAAAGGAGGGCAGCCTGGTGGGAAGGAGCAGTGAGGGCAGAATGGGAAGCATTAAAATTGAGCCCTTACCTGTTTTCTCTTTCTTCAAGTCATGTTTTGTATGATGATGATGATGAGATCATCTGGATGCATAAAACTGTGCCAGGAGATTCAAAACTTGGAAGGAGATTGTATGATGTGAGTAGAAAATACATTTCAGTGCATGTGCAGAAGCCCTTCCCCCAGAGAAGCACACAAACAGGCTTTCTGTGGTCATTCCCTGGTAACCCGCACAAAGAGCTGCTCAAACAGCTGTGCCTTTGGCCGAGCACCATCCATGGGGCTGCTGTGGAAAATGCTGATTTTGGGGCATTAACTTCCCCAACACAAATTCAGAGAAATATACTTACAGTAATTAATGGAAGGGATTGTGAACCCTAAATCTGCACCATGTTGGGAAATTATTCCCTTTATTGATTGTAACAAAAGATTCATATGTGCGTTATACTCAGGTAATGATTAAAGATATAGGATAAAGTGATGATTTGAATTCCAATACAGCTTATTAGGTGACATCAGTCTAACTAAAGTACTTGACACCACATTTTAAAAAATACTAAAATATTTTGGAAACAGAGAACAGTACTATTAAAATATGACAGAATATTATGCTGCCTATATATTAAAATATGCCATGTTGATCAAGCACCAGAGTGCTTTTCATCAAAATGTGGTTATCTTATGCTGAACTTAAGCAAGAATAGAAATCTGTGCACTTTTCTACTTTTACTGCCTATGAGGGACAATATTCAATAATAGCTATTACTATGCTCGTATAGTTCTGATATATTATATTTATATATCATGGCATAAGTTTTTATGTATTTTGGAATTAGTGTCAAATCAGTCGAACAGTGACAAGAAGACATTTATATGTATTTTACCAAGTTAAGGTTTTCTGTTTCTTATCTTTTGAAGAATATATTCAATAATTGCTTTTTAATAGTAACACCTATTTTGATACACTGAAAAGGTTGTTAATGTCAAGTCACATATTTGATATAAAATTAGTTTTTGCATATTGCATGAGCAATATAAGATTTATGAAGCTTCATGTATTCCATTTAAGTGGGCTAATCCTAATAAACACGGTATTTTTTATTGTTGCTAAGCAGTCTTCCTTAAACATAAAATTAATTTGTATTTTGGGGGACAATTACAATTTTTATGGACAGAGCCAATGTTAAATTATGTCTTGTAATTCCGTGTAACTAATAACATAAATTAGGGTGGTGATTATTATTTTTGTCACTAATAGTTGTTGTTGTAGAGTACTTTTTAGAGAGGAGCACATAACAAGAGCTGAAAATCAACCCATTGCTATGTTAGTCACACATGGCAAGCAGCATGGCATAAATTCCCTCTCAAAGTTACTGAAGGATGCTGAACATCAGGACATGCTAAAGGTCAGGCTTAATAATGGGGCATAAATCTCAGATCCCACAGTGAACATCAAATGTATTGAAAATCAGGATGTCTTTACTAAGTTCCTAAACCGCTTTTTGCACTCAAAGCTACATTCACAAAGTTTAGCTTGTGAGAAGACCCTGAAGTGTTTAGGAGGTTCTTGTCAATACACTTAATGAAAAGAAGACCAAAATAACATTCTCTAATCTCACATGTGGGACCTGAACCTGCACTTCTGCTGTTCTGATTCATCTGTGTCATCAGCAACTGTTTACTGGGATTCCTTGTTAGTGATTCCATGGAAAATAAGACTGTGACAGGAGGCTATACTTGAAATTTTGTATCAAGTTTTTGATAGTTTTCAATTCCTTTTTCAAAAATTTATTTCAAAGTTTTCAAATTTTCATTGTTTATACATCTACTTTTTATACCACCTTTTTATTTACCTTGAGCACAACAGATATATTCTGATCTCTAAGAACTAAGAGAATATTCTACACTAAGTGAAAGTTCAGAATACCGAAGAGGCTGAAATGTCATCGAAAGCACTTATTTAAAATATTCACCTATGGCTGCAGAAAGATCCCTTTTAAAGTGACCATTCTTCTTTCCTATACTAACCTGATATCAAAGTAAGTATGTAAATCAGTGCCAAAAGGAGTGAAAGGAATAATTGTGATTAAATTCCTTTTGACACTGCAAATTCTCCTCGCAATCTAATTCTCAGATTTCACTGCATCCCTTCTTAACAAAAGCTGGCTGGCCCAATTGTGCAGGAATGTTTTATAAGTCTATGAAACTACGGGCTGGTTAATCAGGCCCTTTCTGCAAGCAATAAAGACCAAGGCAGAAATGCTGCAACCAAACTGATGATTCAGGGGGACAGTAGGAGGCAGCTGCTGAACTGCAAACATAATGTGAGTCACCTTCTCCCTCACTCTTGAATGAAAAAAACCAAACCAAAACAATAATATTATTAGAAATTACTTTCTCTACCCTCAGATTGAAGGAAGAGAGTGTCAGCCCATCTGTCCTTGCTTAAATAACTAGGTACTTTTATTACTGGTGGTGGATGGAATGGTGTAGCCACATAGCTCTGGAAATGGAAGAGTAATGATGACTAAATAATCATGCCAAAATGAGGTCTCACTTACTAAGATTAGTTCTGTGTGAATGAAAACCAACTTGGAACCTAGAGTTTAGCTTTATGCAACAGTGTAGTCACAACAATAATCCAAATAAATAATGTGAACATAGGGCCAGCACTAATTAGTTATAAATAATTAATTATCAGCAATAGGAAGCCAGTGGGAGCAGCAGGAGCCCAGCAGGTACCTGGCAAATGAAATGTGATAGGCACACACCGTGTCCTCTCCCCTCGTGCAAACTACTGAAACAGAGCAGGGGAACTACTTGCTGTTGTAAAGACATTATAAAGACTTCTTCCTACTTATTTATCTCTTGTGTGTCAGTAAGATCCCAGGTGTTTTTATAGAACATGATTATGTGCAGAAGGAGCAAGGTGAGCTTCCATTCAGTTTAGCATTAAACTGAAAATGGGTCCTTGCAAGCTCTTCGTCTCTACCTGTGATAAGAAGCCTTGAATACCTGTAAAGAAAAGATAACTGAAATCTGTTTTTCTAAATTTAAGCCTGATGCTGTTCCCATTCATATTGGTTGGATATTGATTTGCCTACCTACTCCAACATCAGGTTTTTCTCTTTCTCTGCAGGAAATAAAGTCCTGAACTGTACCTTCTACATAAAATCAGGAAGACAGTTTTGGATAAATAGAGTATCCAAAGTTCAGTTTTATGAAATTGTGCCCACAAGCAACTAGCCAGAGTCTGGCTCTCTCATTTTGTTCACTTCCTGTAAGGATGGCAGTATTATGACATTTAATATGAATGCAATAATCCAAAGAAAAACAAAATAACATATTTTGCACATTTTCTTGTACCAAGGGATTACCATTTATCACTGTAATTATTTAGAAATACTCACATACATATATGTAGCCTTTCTAATTTTCTAAAAAGAAATGGGAACAGGATTATATCTGAGCAAGCTAGATAAACATTTACTATTGTGACTAAAATAATTTGTGGTTCATCTCACTTTAACCTTTTTGTTTACTAAACATTGGATAGTTTCTCTCTGACAAGTACTATGCATATGCATGGCCAAACACTTCTACCTTGCTCCCTATCACTGCAGAAGGATTGGGATAACTCCACTGTTTGCACCAGATCAGGTAGGACATTGGTAGCAGCAGACCTTTTACTACAACTGCTGCAGTTTTTGGGTTCCAAACAGTTCAAATGTGCTAGGTGCATCCCTGACAGCATTAATCTATAAAAAAAGAATAGAACATCTCTAAAAGTTTCATTTCAAAATTTAGCCAGCATCAAATCTGGCCTAGTCTGTTTTTTCAGAGGCAAACATGTGAGTTCTTAGAAGAAAATACTCCTGAACACTCAGCAGTTGTTGAAGTTTGCCTCTGATTACATCTTTGGGAAGCACACTGAGACACCCCACAGGAACAAGGGATGTATAAAGCCTACAAGCTCTTTACCAGGTGGAAAAGTCATTCTGTAACAGCTAAGAGATGAAATGAAAGAAAAGAGACACAGTTCAGCACACATGAACTTTCTGAATGAAGGTAACTGAAAGGTCAAGACAATCAAGAGAATAATCTGAGTGATCAGCAAGGTGGTGAGGCACACACCAAAAGTCAACTTCAGGTGTGCTTCCAATCAGCTGCTTGTTTTGAGAGAATATAGTTTCAACTTAATTTTTTGCACCTGCAAGCTGGTTATCTGGATTAGCCTGATACTTAACATGTGCCCTGAATACTTGCTCTCTTTTTTCTGAGGCTGTGTTGATGTCTGTCCTTGGTGCTTGGGCTTGGGGTCCTGCAGGCTTTGCTTATACATTGCAACATTTTATTCCCTTTTCCTTGGCTTTGTTTCCAGAAGTCTATCAACAAACCTGTAAATTTTTTGTTTGTTTGTTTTTCAATGTCTACAATTTTTTCTTCTGTAAGACAATACCCCTCATGTCTTGAAGGTAGTAAATGTCCTTTAAGTAAACATGCAAATGCTCATCAAGATGCTTTGATTTCTTTTAATGTCTTTTAATTGCTTTCTTTTAATTTCTAGCTTTAGTATTATCATCATCTTTTGTCTCAAATGCTTTCCCTTAACTAGCAAGATTTTTGATTTCTACTTTCTGTGTTCTCTCATATATTTCAAAGTGCTTGGAACATTATGATACTTTACAAGAGTTCTTGCTTAGATATGCTTTTTCAGAGACTCAGCTGCTCACCCCATGTTTTTTCTAAGAGTTTTTTTTATTTTGGTGGTTACTACCCTGACAGACGGAATTCTTGACTCTTCCATTTGAATCAGGTAAGTAATCTAAAAAAAAAAACTAGGTGGCCTTGGTGTCGCTTGTGAGGTTGGGATTAAATTTCTTTTTTTATTTATAAACAACCAAGAACTTTATTGGTTTCTATAGTGAAGATGGAAATATTGCTATTGGAGCTAAACTGAGGTTCAGGAGGGACAATTGTTTTAAAAACAGTGAATTTAGGAGGCAAATATAAACTTTTTTTAGTGTGATAAAAGATAATGCATTCCTTTGAAGTATTCTTCAAAAAATGAGAAGTATTAATTAACCATGCTTTGAATGTAGTATGTGAGTTGACTTTTCATCTCTGACTTTGACTTGATTAGCTGTCAAAATACTATTAATTATAATACGATTTA